ACACGTGATTACGTCAGACGAGGCTACGCAACACGTGATTACGTCAGACGAGGCTACGCAACGCTTGATTACATCAGACGAGGCTACGCAATGTGCAATTACGTCAGACGAGGCTAAGCAACGCGTGATTACGTCAGACGAGGCTACGCAACGCTTGATTACATCAGACGAGGCTACGCAATGTGCGATTACGTCGGACGAGGCTACGCAACGCGTGATTAGGCGACAAGCTTTGTGGTAGTAAACAGGAAGTGAAACTTGCTAACTAGCAGAGGCTAATCATCTTGGGACAATGGAGCGATTTTTTTCATGAATGCCTTGCTATTGGGCAAGTTGTAATTATTCTATCTATTCAGCTAGTACAGGCTATGTTTAATGCTGCCAGGAGACGTTGTTGTTCGCAGCCATGTTTTCGCGCGTTTATGATAACATCCAGGACGAGGCAGGAAAGTGAAAACAGCTGAACGTCACGTGAGGTAAATATGCGCTATGTCAGAATTTATTCGGCAAACGTGTTTCCATCTCCCGTTTTGCTCATTAACTACTTTGCGAATCATCCAAAAACAACCTCAAACGAGTGTAAAAACTTTTTAGCGAATTGAGGATTTTTTTTTTAAATTTTGCTGTTTCTATTCGACTTTTTTTCACATTTTTAATGCAACACTTCTAAATGCGCATCAAAAAGCCTTGATGGAAACACGGTTACTGGTGATCAGAGTCACTGATACTGGCACAACCAGGTCTCAGAGTGGAACTTTTCAGTAGCACCCCCTGTGGAGGTGAGAAGCCCCCCCGCAGCTGTGAAAGTGTGCATGCTCAAAGTTTCTTATAAATTTGCAACAGTTACAATAAATTACAGACAGCAGAGTGTTTTTTCTGTTACTCACACTTTGTAGGTTTTAGGAAAAAAACACATAATTAATCCCAGGCAGGGGGCATAAGGAAATGTTTCAGGTTGTCCGGCAGACAACCTGTTGACAAAACCTGGTTGTCCGCAAAACATTTTGGTTGTCCAAAATAATCTCAAGAAAAATGTAATTTAACAAGTATATTGTTCTGTAGACAAAGTTTATTATATATAATTGTTCTCAGTCAGCCAGGTTGACAGGACCTGTGTGAATAAAACTTCCTCATTCTCTTCTTTGAAATAGAGTTCAACATTCATAAACTTATTTCTGCTCATAGGTCAAACATTTTCACTTAAATAGGAGTATACTGTGTACATGACCTTATTAAAAGTTACAGTTTAGTGTTCTGTTCAGCTTTACCAAGTTTTTTCTCCCTTTCTTTTTTACAAATGATGAACACCCACGGCAGAGAACTTTAATCAAGGTCTTTTATTCTTGTTTGTCCTCCGGACAACCAGGAGACAGGATCTGGTTGTCCAAAACAAAAATAGTTTGTCTTGGACAAACTAAACAATGGTTATGTCTACCCCTGCCAGGTCCGAACAAACTTGAGTGTATTCCGCAGGTTTGGATGTAACTGTGATCATGAAGCCACTGTATGATCAGAGCATGAGTGAGAGCTGCATCAGGGTTAGCAAAAACAAACAAAACAACAAAATAATAAAGAGAGGATAAAAAATCCTCTCTTTATTATTTTGTGGCAAAAAGCCACTTTTTTCCATATATATTTTCACCAAACACAACACACACCTTATCTTACAACACTCTCACCCAGCATATGACTGAGTGAGTCATATATACTGTATATACAGCATATCTGCTCTTTTGACTCAAAATATGTGAGCCATCATATCAAAATGAGGATTAAATCAAATTAGGTCAAAATGACCTAATTACATTTTCAGATTCTTGGCTTTAAAAGCTACATTTTGATACCTGGATCATTCTGATATCATAATTAAATCCATATATATGACTTAATTTGTCTTGTTGGTTACAATAATACATAAATATTTGGTCTGAATCCTAATTTTATGTCATTTTAATGAGGAATTTTTGATGTCCTTATAAAGAGGAAACATCAAATTATATTTGAATATTGAGATTTCCCAGCTAATAAGAAACAAAAAAATGTCAAAATTTTAAGGCGTTTTCCCTTAAAATCAGTTTTTTGTTGCTAGTGCTCAAAAAAGTGCTTCAAAATTTAGTTTTATGATTATATTTCAAACAGTTCATTCAACTGATATATTGATAAGGTTTTTATTCATTATATTTTGGCAAAATGCAATTTTTGTTAACATTTTAGTCAAAACATTATATTTGCCTATTTCTCCTTATACCACTTTTGGACTCGATCCTCGTTTTGATGTGATTGGTCACATTTAACAATTTTAAAGGAAGAGTAAAACACTTTATTATGTCCCATTTGGCATCCCTGCCTGGTACGTTACTGCAGCAGTTCCATGTAAACGGGTTATTATTTTTTGTATATTCGTCCCAGTAAGCATTAGCATTTTCAGAGACTGGTCTTGTGTAAACAGGGCTAAAAGAAACGTTGTTGGATTCTGAAAAATGGAGATGAATTGGTTTCAAAGCCGAACACAAC